TCTCTTTCAACACTTTCTGACTAAGATCTGGGCAAACTAAAGTATTTTCAGGTATTGAGGTCGCTCAGTCTAGCTCAGGTATTGTGATATCACAATGGATGTATGAGTTAGACATTCTTGAGGAGACAGGAATGACAGGTTGTAGAACGATTGACACTCTGATGGATTCGAATTCACTTCTGCTAGGACAGGGGGAGCCGCTTAGCGATCCTGCAAGATATAGGCGGTTGGTTGGTAAATTAAATTATCTCACAGAGACTAGACCTGACATTTCCTTTCTTATGAGCGTTGTAAGTCAGTTTATGGATTCTCTCTGTGATAGTCATTGGGATGCAGTTGTTCGCATTCTTCGATATATAAAATCGGCTCCAGGAAAAGGGTTATTGTTTGAGGATCGAAGCCATGAGCAGATCGTTGGATACTCAGATGCTGATTGGGTAAGATCACCTTCTGACAGACGTTCTACGTCTGGATATTGTATTTTAGTAGGAAGCAATTTGGTGTCTTGGAAGAGCAAGAAACAGAATGTAGTTGCTCGATCTAGTGCAGAAGCACAATATCGAGCAATGGCAATGGCAACATGTGAGCTAATTTAGATCAAACAATTGCTCAAGGAGTTGAAATTTTGGTGAAATCAGCCAGATGGAACTTGTGTGCGATAATCAAGCTGCCCTTTATATTGCATCAAATCTGGTGTTCCATGAGAGGACTAAACACATTTAGATTGATTGTCACTCGTCAGAGAAAAGATACTCTGAGGAGATATTGCTAAAAAACTTGTGAAGTCGAATGATCAGCTTGTTGATATTTTCACCAAGTCTCTCACCGATGATCGTATTAGTTATATGATTTATATGTACCAATTTGAGGGGGAGTGTTAGTTTGGTAGTTAAATAATAGTAAATAACTCTAATCTCATATGTATTAGGAGTAGGACATGTATTATATATATAGAGAGAGAGCTCATTGTATCATTGTCATCACATGTGAATAAAATATTTTCGTGTGCATTCTCACAATCCATACCAAACAACTCTTACAGTTGCTAGCTCAATCATAAATCCTCTTCGCTCATTTTAACTTGGGCCATTACGCCCTAGAGATTTCGACTATAGTTATTTTTCTATATTTTTGGAATTGCGTAAAAAGGAACACAAGAAACTAATTTAGACATACTTAGGTTTCAACTCTCCACTGACACCTTACATCCTCCGACCAAATAATATATGTTCTTCCATTCCCTATTGTCATTCTAACACTTTCTTTCCCATTCATATCAAAAACATCATCTGTTAACAAGTATCTTCCCTTCATCCTTGTCTGGATTTAATATCTTTTTTCTATTGAGTTGTCTAATGTGCCATTTGTTTTTATTAAGATTAAAACATTTGAATCTGAATATTAAGATGTGCATTGAGATTAAGACATCTGAACTTGAATATACATCTGAATATTGAGATGTTGTATTGAGATCTGAAAACTAAATAAATTAAGACATGTTTGTTTTCTCAACACTTATATACAAAATTCGTTTTTATTTAAAAATTAATAAATAATACAAACAAAATACTAATTAATCTAATACTTTATCAACTAAATATTTTTTTTAAATAATTATATGGTGGTTGGTAGTGGTAGTGGTTGTGGTGATGGCTAAAGGTGGTGGTTATGGGTGCCGACAAAGGATGGTGGTTGGTGGTGGCATAGTTATGGTAGTGGTGACCATCTTATTCATCCCTCAAGACCACTGGCCAGCCAACCTTCTCACACGTCATAGAATAGACAAAAAAAGGCAACCAGAGTAACCACCATCTCACCTCTCTACTATTATGTTCTCCATAAGAAACTCACCACCGCTTTGGAGAAAAACTCAGCTCTTCACTACCATAAGCGGAGGAAAGCCAAGCTGATCGTTGAAATTTTGTTGTCAAATTGACAGAGGAATCTTTCATCAGAGAAGAATGGCCAGACTCATCGTAAGAAACCTCCAGGATCCAAAAGATAGCCTAACTTCGACTATAACTCACCGGAATTAACTTCGACTATAACTCACCGGAATCTGTCGTCAAGTTTACTACCTACATTATTGGTTTGGGGTTTTAGAGAAGAATTTTAGGAAAAGAAAGATTTTGATGTGGTTAAGGGAAAAAAATTGAAGAAAATGGGGAGGAACAGGAAGAGAGGAGAATGAGAAGAAAATGAGGGAAGGAGGGGGAAGAATTGCCAAATTTTAGGAAGCTTGGAAGAAGAAGAAGAAAAAGAGGAGGGAGTCGAGGGTTTTCTACTTTTTTTTTAAGAAAAATTATGCATGTTTATTTTTCCTTTTCTTCAAATTACATGTGTTATTCGACAAATCGTGTGTTTGACTAGTCAATGGCAATTATATTTCACGCATATGGTCTGTAGGACTCCTATGTCTACGAGACACACTTCCGCTGAGAAAAGATGTCTATTGTGTCATTGGCATAGTCAAAGTGTGTATTTAGCAGTTGTTGCCAAAATGTACTTGGCCTCTAAAGAATTATCTCCACACCTCGAGATAGCTCCTATTTTGGGTTTTATAGCCTGGCCCATACCTTTAACATATTCTCCGAGCTCGCCATTTATGGGGACATCTTCAAAAACCAAATCACAAAAGTTCTCTTCCAATGCGTCTCTTACAAAGTTTGAATTTGACATGTTGCAACATGTCCAAAAGGACCCATTACAGCTCTCACGTGAAAAGTTTGTTTTACCGGATAACACCATTACAAATCCACCAGCAAAATTTCGACAACCTGACCTGACCCTTGATTTTGCATCGCAATTGCACACTCTTTCTCCACTCCTACTTCTGAAGCCATGTCACTAATAAAAATGTATTTTGGGGTTTGACCTTGAGAATTAGGAATCTTAATAAAAACCTATTTCATGTAATTCCTTAACCTTTCTCCAAGATCAAGCTCCATAAATTCCCCACATTGTTCCCCTATTGCTTCGAAAATATTATCTGCTGAACAAAAAAGTTATTTAGTCGAACCCAATAGCCTTACTTCACCACAATATTATCCTTGTGCATGAGAGAAGGTAATAAGCTTTGTAGTAGCACTTCATGTCCTTCATAGAACCAAGCTCCCACTTTCACTCTATCAGCTTCTGTTGTCGTGGGAAATCCAGTTAGGGGTTTATCTCCAACAAATTCAGATACATTAAAGTCCATTGATAACTTATTGTTCTTCTTAATGAGAGTTTCGATTCATTGCTATTCAGTTAGTGACACTTTGACTCTACAACCTCAGCAGCTAGGCATCTCGTCATAAATTCTTTGCATGCTTTTACTGCCTCCCACCTAACCTAATATGGTCATCTTCAATGTGTGAGTTAACAGGGATGTCACTGGCCTGTGGTAGAGTTTTGCCACTTCTAAGTAGGTGCTCTTGATTATCTCATTTGGTCTTTTAACGAGGTTCTCACCTTTTTCCACAAAACTCTAGATATTCACTGCAAGACCTATCCAACTTGAGTCTTGCATAAATTCCAATGTTATTAAAGGTGAAAAGCGCAAAAAAGCTCTAAGGTATGTTGGGGCTTTAAGCACAAAGCGAAAATAAAGCGTGGGCTTTAAAGAAAAAAAGCAAAAATGGAGAAAAACTACAAATATGTATGTGTAGTCCAAGACTAATATCTATAAGCATAAATGCACCAAATATATGGACAAAGAAATTGAAGAAAATTTACGATAAAGTGAAGTATCAATTGTTTAGTGTCGTCTCTTCCGGATTACGCTTGTTAGCAAGGAAAAGTATGCCTTAGAGCTTTGATGACAATACTGAAGCGCCCGTTAAGCGAGGCGAAGCGCTCAACATGTTTTGAGCCTCGCTTCAGGGCTTAAGCACGCCTTTGATAATACTGATAAATTCTGGAACAATGATATGATTTTTCCTCTTCCCATGCATCAAAATAATCCGTATATATCAACCTTACATAATAAACTTTTGGTATGCATGATACTCGTGCGGTTGCTCCTTCTTCCGCCGCTTCCTACAAATATCTCCAACTCCTTCCGAGGTTAGTCTCATCACCTATAACATAGCCACAGAAGTAGGCTCTGACTGACGTATATACTGAACATGAAGTTTCTCTTCCTCTCGACCCATTTGTATGTACCAACACTGGATCCGATCCGTCTCTTCCAAGTCGAAGGATTTCCTTCCGACAATGAACAGGTAGCTTTTGCCCAATGGAAAAGAGTTGGAGCCTTCAATTTATGTTTCTCGTCATCATAAGCTACGGTTAAGTTACTCCGCATATCAAAAACCTAACACCCACCAGTTGATGTTGCTACCCTGCCCAGAGTACAAAAGCAAAGATGTTATTAGAGATAAAAGGTTTGTTATTGCTGGAAAGTTGATTGGAGAAAAGTTTTGGGTTGAGCCATGGTCTTCCGGCTCGTTTTCCAACAAATAGAGAAGTCCATCTCTTGAGCTTTGTCGATGAAACTCTTCCTTCTCTCAATGTGTTCAACCCAATGAGAAGTACTCAAGAAATTTTCCTTTAATTCAAATAATTCTTCTTTGCGAATGTTTCCTTTCAATCTTGAACTGCAAAAGTCCGTAAATTTGATCTGCATTCTCATTTTCCTAGACTAGGCTAAAGTTACTCGGTAAAATCTCTAACTTGCCCAAAAACATGACAGAAATGTTAAAAATCAGACATTAGAGTTAATTTTCACAGAGGGGGAACGATAAAAGTTTCTCCCAAATAACAACTTATATGATGTGCACGTCCGACAATACAAAAGCACCTAATTTTGTGCCAACTTGATAATAACATCCGCCGCACTAGACGACTCATTACAATTTCGTGGTATGTGAAAGAAAAGGCATCAGTTTAAGAAGTATTCCTTTCAATAAAATCCAAGTCAAATTTTCTGCTTCTACATTGAACAGAAAATAATTGAATCGGGAAAATGAAGTGGTTTGTTAAAGTTTCAATGTGCTAACAGAATACAAAGACGGTACCTTTCGTTGCGATTAAGGCGAGCACCGAAATAGAAAGCGACAGAGAGCAGCCACGAATCGGTGTGCATAGCAACCAATGACAACCAGTCTCTCCGCTCCATTCCATCCCTTGCAAAATTGATACCTAACACCGGCTCCGGTAACTCTGGCGGAACTTCCTCCGCTGGCACTGCAACTTCCCAAGTCTCATTTGAATGTCCATACAAACACAAATTGTCTCTCTCTGGATCGCACTGTGAGAAAAATTCCTCCACATCTGAGAATTGCAAGCAAAACAAGAGAATCAATCTTTTTGATAAGTAAAAAAAAAAGAGAATCAATTTAACAAAGCATAAGAAAAAGGGACAAATTGAAGTACCGGCAGTGAGGGCACGGAGGACGGCGGCGTGACGGGCGGAGAAGTCTTTGAAGATCTCTTCGACGGTGCGAGGGCTNTATTCCAAAAATCTAAACAAAAAAGGAACTTTTTCAATGGGTATAGTTGAAATTCATTGAAAATATATAGATAAGTCAATATATAAAATTTGAGAAATATTGGAGGTGATTTGGACTGGTTTTGTATCAAAATTCGTAATTAAATCGAGTACAAAAAAGTCTTATGTGATACATGTATCAAACATGTATCACGCATGTATCTCACACACAGGTATACATGGATATAGATGTGATACACAATAGATACAAATATGATACATATGTGATACACAAATGATACACAGTGTGATACACATATCATTTTTTTCATGTTCGGTTTTTACCGAATTTTCAATTCAAACCACCTCAAAACTTCACCAAATCATCCCAAAATTGAGATTCAAGCTCCTTAAGTTGTGCCCAATCTATTCTAATAACACCCACTCAAAACAAAGCAAAATTTTGATTTTTTTTTTTTTTTGCTACAAATAGTTAATTGGCTAATTTGACTAATATTAGTAATATTTTATCAATTGGCTGATTTTTGTAATGAGCTACCTATAAATGGACATAGTTGATAATTTCCCTAAAATAAATTAGATCATGCATCTTTATTAATTGTAATCTTTTAAGTTTGGATACGATATTGTACTTGTAAAGGCATTGACATATAGAAATGAGGTATACTAACCTATTTGCTGGGCTTACTTACTAGCAAAAGCTAGGGCGAACGGCACAAATAGCCACTAAAAGCAGTGGCTTTTATTTTAAAGCCACTGTTTTCAATGTATTTAGATTTTAGCCATTCCTTTAAAAAAACTTATACCTGACTGGACGAAAATACCCTTCTGGTATAACTTATACCTACGCTATCAACACAAGCAGCAGTTACACAAAGAGAAGAAGCGAGCAGCAGCAGCAGTTAGTGTCTTCATTTTAGAAATTGAATTCAAAAAAATAAGAACACTATGTCCTTAACTTTGATTCTACTGGCCTCATTTTGCAAATTGAATAAAAAAACTTAAGGACAAAATGTCCTTCACTTTGTTGTTGTTCTTATGTATACAAAGTCCTGTAGCTTGAGTTTTAAATTGTATGTTTTAATTTCTGGTTCAAATGTTAAGGACTAACAGTCCTTAACTTTTAAATACATGTTTAAATGTTAAGGACTAACAGTCCTTAACTATTAATTCCATGTTTAAATGTTAAAGGACAGACAGTCCTTAGCTTTTAATTTCTTGTTCAAAAGTTAAGGACTGACAGTCCTTAACTTTTAATTCCATGTTTAAATGTTAAGGACTGACAGTCCTTAACTTTAATTACATGTTTAAATGTTAAAGGACAGGCAGTCCTTAGCTTTTAATTTCTGGTTCAGAAGTTAAGGACTGACAGTCCTTAACTTTTAATTCCATATTTAAATGTTAAGGACTGGCAGTCCTTAACTTTAATTATATGTTTAAATGTTAAAGGACAGGCAGTCCTTAGCTTTTAATTTCTGGTTCAAAAGTTAAGGACATGCAGTCCTTAAGTTTTAATTTCTGGTTCAAAAGTTAAGGACAGACAATCCTTAAGTTTTAATTACTTGTTCAAAAGTTAAGGACTGGAAGTCCTTAACTTTTAATTCCATGTTTAAATGTTAAGGACATGTAGTCTTTATCTTAGTCTTGCATTTACAGTACACCTGTTCTTAATTCTACAAGGATTGTTTTATAACGTATGTCCTTTGTTTCCTATTCTCTTGACTTGTAGGATGTAAACAATATGCATAATAGTTGCTTTTAATGGTAGATGGACTGAAGACTATAAATATCTTGAAACAGAACATAAATCATGAACTAGCAAATGAAAAAGTACCCAATGCCTCGAGTGCCACCAGTTACAAGAGCATTCATGCCATAAAGGGACCATCTATTCACTTTTCCACTACANATTCTCTTGACTTGTAGGATGGAAACAATATGCATAATAGTTGCTTTTAATGGTAGATGGACTGAAGACTATAAATATCTTGAAACAGAACATAAATCATGAACTAGCAAATGAAAAAGTACCCAATGCCTCGAGTGCCACCAGTTACAAGAGCATTCATGCCATAAAGGGACCATCTATTCACTTTTCCACTACACTTAGTGGCAGCGGCAGTAGTTGTGAGTCGAACTGAACTGCAATTCATCCATGGGTTTATTATAAAGTTTCTGGGTTTTGGAAGTTGAAGTTTGTGCTTGAGAGAAGCAGCAATAGTGTGTGAAATGAAGAAGGGTTCCGACATTTTCTTTTGGAGAGAGAGAGAGACAAGGGATTGAGGGATTAATGTGCACAGATAAGGGATTGAGGGATTGATGTTGTTGACTAAGCATGGAGGAGGCTGACCATGAAATCACCTTGGGTATTCCAGATGAAAATGCAACGCAAAAGAGAGGAAGAAAGGGTAAAATTATCTTTTTTCTATTAGTAGTGGCTATTTTTGCTGAGCATTATAATTAGTAGATAAAAATTAAAGACACCCTTAATTAGTGGCTACTACACGCCATTTTTACCAAAAGCTAAAACATAAATACTTCTTAAACACAAAAGATCTCTTATATTTTCGATTAGCAATTGAACTAGATGTGAACCCATCCATAATCGGTACAATACATATTGTAGACAATAAATTTGTGTCGAGAAAATAAGATTAAGACCGAAAAATATCGCAACAATTGTAGTATTTTATTTTAAATATTTGAGTGTTACAATCTCTATGAATCCTCTAATTCTTCCTTCCAATAGTAAATAAATTCAAGGGCCTTTGGGCTTGATCTTGAATCTTTATTTGTTTCCACGAACGATGATCTTGTTCTTGAGCTAGAGCTTAAGCTTGGCTGCTTGAACTTGATCTTGATTCGTTCTTCGTTCTTGAGCTTGACCTTGATTTCTTGAACTTGAACTTGATTGCTTGAAGCTTGAAACTTGTAGAGAAATTTGTGGTGTTTGATCCACGAGCTCTCTCTTGCTTCTTGTTATAACTTCTGGTCTCCTTTCTGAGTTATGAAGACCCCTATTTATAGTTGTCGAAGGGAAGAGTTGTGATAAGAACAAACTCTTTCCGACCAATCAAATTGAAGTGTGACATGACCGCATTTGATTGGCCAGAACATGTCATTTGCACACGTGGCGCGATTTCATTGGCCTTTTAGTGTAACTGGGCATGCCTTGTCATTTTGACACATGGCACGATCCTATTGGCTCTTTTGTTTGACTTGGCGCGCCACGTCATTTGACATGTGGCACCAAACTGGGCCTCTAGGAAGATGACATCTTGGGCTTAATTAAGTGGGCTCATCACTTTAGCCCAATTAAATGGGCTAGCCCAATAATATTGGTCTTATATAATTAATCTAATTATATTAGCCCAATATTTATTTGGACAAATATATTTAAAATATAATCCAAATTATTTATTGAATTTGAATTCAATAAATTTATATGCCTACAAATGTCCCCTGCTTCAAGTCTTGTCGGATATATTTGTCAAATATTGAAAGACAAGGATTGAAGTATTACGACTAACACCCCTTTGTTTTCTTTTTCCAAGGAAAGTCATATTTTTTGTTTACATCTCAATATGCAGCTTTCAAGATTAAGTAAACAATTCTTGAATCCAAGTACCAGATGGATTCCCTTAGGCAAAATTTACGTAAACATGACTTTTGCTTAGCATGGACTTGAGTCCAAGACCAAGTCACGTTGGTCTTGAATTGTTTCTAAAAAATAGTGCAATCTCCATTAAGAATCCAACTTCATTCAAATGCTTAGTTAGACCCCTACTTGAATTATGAAATACGTATATTACTATTCGAGCAGTAGTCAAATTACTACATTCCAGTTCAAGTTGGAAACTACTTCTTGGAGCCGCCTCAACAAGTGATCCCACATCGGAAGTTATTCTTTTAAGTCGTCTCTCCCATGCCTATATAAACTCATATGCTCGTATTTGTTAGCATCAATTCGCAGTATTTGCAAGCCACTTGAGTTTATTTTTTGTGGACTCGGAAGCATTAATGGGAAGGTAATTTCTTCTTCTTTTCTTGTGCTTTCTTCTTTGTTGTCTTTTTTTTTTGTAGATCAAGCGAGAAAGATATGTTCTTCTTCAATAAGATGATCCACGCATGAAGAATACAATCTTGGGGTGTGAAGGGATGAGTATTCATCCTTGCCCGAATATCGGAGAGATTACTCTCATGGCCCGACTACCGGAGAGATTACTATCAAAATGGCCCGATTCTTGGAGAGATTACTCTCAATGTGGCCCAATTCTTGGAGAGATTACTCTCAAAATGGCCCGATTCTTGGAGAGATTACTCTCAATGTGGCCCAATTCTTGGAGAGATTACTCTCAAAATGGCCCGATTCTTGGAGAGATTACTCTCAATGTGGCCCAATTCTTGGAGAGATTACTCTCAAAATGGCCCGATTCTTGGAGAGATTACTCTCAATGTGGCCCAATTCTTGGATAAATGACTCTCAATGTGGCCCGATTCTTGAGAGATTACTCTCAATGTGGCCCGATTCTTGGAAAGATTACTCTCAAAGTGGCTCGACTACCGGAGAGACCAACTTAAGGTGCAAAAGGACTCATATGTCCACCTTAAGATTAGAAAGTTATAGTTCCTTTTAAGGACAAACCCGCGAAAAGGCCAACTTAAGGTGCAAAGGGACTTATATGTCCACCTTAAGATTGGAAAGTTATAATTCCTTTTAAGGGCAAACCCGCGACGAGGCCAACTTAAGGTGCAAAGGAACTTATATGTCCACCTTAAGATTGGAAAGTTATAAAGCTTCAACTCGAAGACGACATCGACTTGAATACTTGGAAAACCTTGAAGATTTGGCGGACTTTGCAGACTTCAACTCGAAGATTCGGAGGGCTTAAACAATTCAATTTTAAGATCGGCGAATTTGAAGACTGAAACTTGAAGACCGAAAGACTTGAAGACTTCAACTTGGGGGGCTTAAATATTTCAACTTTAAGACCGACGAACTCGAAGACTTCAACTTTGAAACTTGGAGGGCCTAAATATTTCAACTTGAAGATCATCGGATTTGAAGATTTCAACTTGAAGACCGACGGAGTTGAAGACTTCAACTTTGAGACTTGGAGGGCCTAAATATTTCAACTTGAAGATCAACGGATTTGAAGACTTCAACTCGAAGACCGACGTGGTTGAAGGTTTCAACTTGGGGACTTCAACTTGAATACACTTGAAGACTTCAACTTGGAGACTTTGAGGGCTTAAATATTTCAGCTTCTCTTTTGCTTTACATTGTTCGACTTTTATCTTAGTCACATAATTTTTAGCTTTACGTGCTTGTAACAAATGATTCATATCTTGCCATGGGAGAGTCCAAATAATGAATCGTTTGATGACTTCAATATCTAAAATATATCCAATACTCAGAATCACGCTGGATAATATCTTGAAACCAACTTTAGATTTCACCATGTTAAAAATTTCAGATTTGCGCAGTCTCACCGAAAAATTTATATCTCGGTGTAGAAATATAGAAATTGCAAACCGTTTAATTTCAAGAAAACTAGACTTCAAGATTTAGAATATAACCAAAATTCTCAATCAAACAACTTCAGAATCGTCCCAGATAATATTTTGAAATCAACTTTATATTGCAGCACCCTATCAATTCCAGATTTGCACAGTCTCACCAAAAAATTCATATCTCGGTGTAGAAATATCGAAATTGCAAACCGTTTGATTTCAAGAAAACTAGACTTCAAGACCTAGAATATATCCAAAATTCTCAATCAAATAACTTCTGAATCGTCCCAGATAATATTTTGAAATCAACTTTACATTGCACCACGCTATCAATTCCAGATTTGCGCAGTCTCACAATTTTTTTTTTCATATTTTGGTGTAGGAACGTCGAAATTAGAAGATGTCTTACTTGCCATCAATCGAAATTTAAGAGCCATATTCTCACAAATATCTTGAGTTCAAGTCTCACTGAATTTGAAACGTTGTGCCAAGCAATCCTTTCCTTATACTTGTTTTTCCTTTTTGATGTCTCTCTTCTCTTCCCCTTTTTTTATAAGGCAGAGGGCGGACTTGGACACCAACAAACTTGAAGGTTTGGCGAACCTGAAGACATAGAGAATCCCTGGACTTCAATGCAAATACTTGACATCCTCCTTAAATTGGCCCATCGAAGATATCAATTTACCATAGAGGGTTGCCCCCTTTAAATCAAATGAGGTCAAAGTTCAGTAGGAGGATGGCATTTCAGCTTGATCTTACATTCTTTTATACTTTATTCGAACAACAATTGGGGCAATATGTATATTTTGAACTTATGCGACTGAACTTAAAATGAAACTCTAAGCTGCCTACGTACCTCAGTGAAGAGGATCAAGTCATACCGTAGTTCAGACTGGGTAGATTTTTTTTTATGTCCTAACTTTTGCCTAGGCCGACTCTTTTGAGATTTTCAACCTAGCGGATTTTTTGGGGGGGGGGAGCGTACACAATTTAGACTCATGCTGGCTAGGAGTGTAACAACATGCAATTTAGGCTCGTGCGTCAAGGAGTGTCATGACTTGCAGTTTAGGCTCGTACGTCGAGGAGCGTCATGACTTGCAGTTTAGGCTCGTACGTCGAGGAGCATCATGACTTGCAGTTTAGGCTTGTACGTCGAGGAGCATCATGACTTGCA